CACAAAAAAACCCAACAAAACAAACAACCCCCCCCCCAATTACCCACAATTAATAGTTACTCACTGGCACTCCCAGAATATGAGACAACTGATCAGCTTTTTTCTGGCGAAGACAGTTCCCTGCATTGGTGACAAACACAACAGGCACCAAGAAACGTCCTTGAGAATTCACTAGCTTTTGAAAAGCTACTTTAGCAGCAGGAATTGGAGTCTTTCCTCGTACCAATACTCCATCGATGTCAAAGAGAAAGCCAAAAGTAGGCTGCACATGAGGCTATAAAGACAAAAAAAAAGGTGAAAAAAGTATTTTATTATTTTCATTATTACACACATTCAATAAAGATTACAGTACCCTGCCCTGATAGCACAATCCTTCTGCTCTCTCCAGGATGCTTATAACAGTAATCAGTGATCAAATAGCCTCCTTAAAGTAACATACTTTTTCAAATAAATTCAAGGCTAAAAAATATAATGTCATTTTCCATTGGCTCTGGAAAAGCTGATTTTCACAGACTCCCTCCACAAAGTAAATGTCAATCTACCTCTCTATATAGCTACAGACAAGTGACTCCTAAACTCCCCCTCCGACCCCCAATTTTTTTCTTCAACTATTTTAGAGTCCTTCTGACTGCTAGGCTCCTAAATTTAGTAAAGATTTGCCCATTGCTAGAGACTACACATACGATTCTTAAAGCTAGCATTTTTTCCTAGTCTTGCATATGCTTTGGGTATCTTTACCTATCACATTGCCTTCCTATTTATTCTTCTCATAACCTGGTTCCAGCCATAAGCAGAGGCCAAATTAGTATATGGATCCTTGTGGGGGCGGGGGGAGAGAAGAGTGTATCTGGAATACACACACACAGTGCTGTACTGTGGGGTTACCATGGCCTGAAAATATGATAAATAATGAGCCTTTTGGCTTTGGACAAATGTCATGCATAGCTTGTGCTATATCTCAGTAGGTTAAAAAAAAAAAAAGTGCCACTTAAAAATTTGTTTACAGAGTACCTGCACTAAAACTTGCAGCAGTTTCAAAACGGTAAAATGCATCAATTCTGAATGAGCTAATCATATGGGTACCTGTAATAACTTGCCTATATGCAAATTACTACAAATACGTTGATTTTAAGGTTAGTGTTTTCAAATTTGTCTCCCTCACACGGAGATGGAAGGCAAGGGGGCTACCTGACTCTCCCCCCAGAGATTTATCTTTCCTGCAGTAGCACAGCCCTGTAGCCCTCCTTTTAAAGTGCTGGGAGTCTGGGGCTGGGCGGGGGATGGGGTCGGGCAGGGCAGCCATGGGGTCTTCCCACGGCTCCCCCTGCTGGAGCAGAGGCAGGCACAGCCAGAGGAGCAGCAGGAGAAGACCCCATGGCTGCCCTGCCTGGCCCAGACTCCCAGCACTTTAAAAGGAGGGCTGCGGGCTGTGCTGTAGTCTTCCCAAGGGCACCTCCAAAACGTTCTGAAACATTTTGGATGATTTTGTTTCACTTCGGAGATGTTTCAGAGCCTTGTTTCATTTTGGATTCAGTGTTTTGGGTGCCAAAATGAACCGAAATGAAACGGCTGCCGAAATTTCACACAGCCCTATGAACTGTGCAGTAGCTTAATAGCACTGCGCAGTAGCTGGGCAAAACCTGTGCTAATATGCTACTGCACAGTAGCACAAGTTACTGGACATTTAGTACTTCATTATCCAAGTACCAAACTTAATGCACAATAACTATGGCACATTAATGAACATGTAGATGCACCCAATGAGAATGCTTCCTCATCTCAAATGAAAAAAAGAAAATAAGTATTTGCAAAGAACCCTGATATTAACAATAATGAGTCACACAAAGCCTATAAGAAAATTAATGACCCTGCCTTCAAAAAAATTTGGAATGGTGTGAAGTAAATAAGGTCATACACTAAATAATGAGGAGAAAAAACCCCCTTATTATGAACAAGGCTAGACACCCCAAAGCCCCCTACCTCCCCCACCAAAAAAAAAAAAAAGCCAAAACAATGC